GTAGCCCAGGCTGGCCTCGAACTCACAGAGATCCGCCTGGCTCTGCCTCCCGAGTGCTGGGATTAAAGGCGTGCGCCACCACCGCCCGGCTTTCAGCCTGCTTTCTTAAACACTGGGGACCACCTGCCTAGGGTGGCAACACCCACAATGGGCTGGGCCCTCCCACATCAATCACCAATCAATAAAATGCACCACAGACTTGCCTTTAGGTGAGTCTTATGGGGCACCTTTTCAATTAAAATTTCCTCTTCCTAGATATGTTTCTAGCTATGTCAAGTTGACAAAAACCTAGCCAGTACATGTACTTTCCCAAACATTTCCTATTCACAAATGGTTGAATCCTTTGGTGATCAAGTTGGTCCCTGTATAGAATGAGGTAGCGTTTGCATAGTGCCTACACACCCTATAAATATGAATACTATATAAATATTGTGGACATATGCTGTATTGTTTAGAGAATAATGACAAAGAAAGGATCAACATGTGCAACAGAGACACAGTTTTATTATTTTATTTTGAAAGATGTATTTTGTTTACATGAGTGCCTGTGCATGTACAGGTGCCCATGGAGGCCAGAAGGTGTCAGATCCCTTGGAGCTGGAGTTACAGGCATTTGTAAACCACCCAATGTAGGTGCTTGGATCTGAACTCAGGTACTAGAGCAGTATGATCTCTTAACCACTGAACCATCTATCCAATCCCAAGATAAGGTTTTAAAACATGTCTTCAATCCACAATTGGTAGATACTGTACAATCAAAGGGCCAACTATATATGTTATTGTTTGGTTTGCTTATTTATTTATCTATTTATTAACAGTACCAATGATTACACTCAGGACCTTGAGTATACTAGGCAAGTTCTCTACCAGTAAGCTACAACCCCATGTCTTTATTATTATCATCATTATTATATTTATTTTGAGACAAGGTCTCATTATGTAGCCCAGTCCAGTCTTGAACCCACCACCCTCCTGCCTCAGCCTACTAAGTACCTGGGATGTAGACAGTACCACACCCAGGCCAGTTGTGTACTTTTAGGTTACAAGTTCAGTGTCTAATTTCTCTGTAATAAAAGGCCACTTGCTGCTGTAGTAAGGCCTGTCTGTTGGATTGAAATGAATCAAGAGGGGGGTGGAATTTTAAAAGTAAATTGAGGCCAGTGAAGGAATGCATCGCAGGCTAGGCTGATGCATTTAGTCTTGAATCACCAGGCCATGAGGACACTGATGGGACAAGATCTGTAATTTAGATGGATGGGGGAGGGGGAGGAGATACGGAGAAAGAGAAAGTGGGGGCGGAAGAACAAATGGGTGACTTTCAACGATCCCAGTGAGGGACAACATCAAGCAGAGCAGACAGGGCAGAAGATTCAGCTGGTTCAAAGACGTCTCTCTGCATCTCCTGTTGACTGAACTCAACGAAGGAGAAGTTTCTAGAATGAAGCTCGGGTTTCCAGCTTGAACAGCTGAATAGACTAGCATGTCACTAAGGTGGGTGGGGGAGATTCTGGGCTCGGATTCAGACAGTGTCACTTAGCGTTTTCTCCATATGTACCATCTTCAAAAGAGTGGTTTCAAACAATCACCAAGTATTAGATCATTCTGTGGGGCAGACAGTGCACTGGGTTCATCTGGGAAGTCTCTCTGAACCAGAACAGACTGTGTTGACCTCAACCTCAGTGCTGCTTGTGGCATGTAAGGTCTGCTGGGCCTCCTGGTGTCTCCGCCCTTTGGCCTCACCTCAGCAGCTGACTGGCTTGGACATGTTCACATTGGTGACACAGCTCCAAGGTCAGCAAGAGAAGGCTAGTTCTGATGTGCAAGCACTTTTCAAGTATCTACTTGTATCCGGCTCTCATCGGCCAAAGCGTGAGTCACGTGACCTACCCAGCTTCAACTGGTGAAAAGCAAACTTTATTTCCTTATGAGATGGCAGGACTTGGCTAAATTTTGCAAACTCCCACAGACGTAGTATGTTTAAGATATTTGTGGACCACCTAGGCAGAGGTTTCCAGTGGCCAATTACATCTCAGCAGAAAGGTTTTGGCTGGAGGTCAGCTTTGGGGACACAGTCCCTTGTGCTGCTGTATGAGGAGAGAATGAGTCACATATAGACTGTGCACACACTCTAGTAGTTAAAACTGACCTTTGTGGGGAAGTTCTGTGCTAAGCACTTTCTTAGCATTAAGTTCAATGAGTCCTCACAACAATTAGCAGAGGCAGAGAATAAAGAGGAGCTCTGGAACCATGGCACTTTCTTTCAGCGGCCATATGTGAGAATATTGCCGCAAGATTTTTTACCCAAGTGGTTTCGGGTTTGTTTTTTTTTTTTTTGTGTGTGTGTGTGTGTGTGTGTGTGTGTGTGTGTGTGTGTGTGTGTTTGGCTTTTCGAGACAGCGTTTCTCTGTGTAGCACAGTCTCATGCACTTCTGATCATCCTGCCTCTGTCCCTCGAGTGGATGTCCTGTCATGCCTGGCTTATGTGTTGTCAGGGATGGACCCCAGCTCCGTGTAAACACTCTATTAATGGAACTATAGCCTCACTCCTTCCCAGTGTTGGATTTGTTTGGTTTTTTTCCAGACAGGGTTTCTTCATGTAACAGCCCTGGCTATCCTGGAACTCACCCCATAGGCCAAGCTGGCCTCGAACTCACAGAGATCCACCTGCCTCTGCCTCCTAAGTGCTGGGATTAAAGGCACATACCAGCACCACCTGGCAAGTGTTCCATTTTTAAAGAGGGAAAAATCTCAGAACAAATACATTTTCCATCACAGAACAGAGCTTGGCACCGGTACAAAAACCCTTCAGAGTAAAATAAGAAAATAAACAATTCAGTTTACAACCAAAAAGTGCTGAGAGCTAGGAAAGCTACAGCTTGAGTCATCAGGTAGGGAGACACACATCTGTAATTGCAAAACTCAAAAGGCCGAAGCAGGAGGGTTACAAGTTCTAGGCCATCCTGGACTACATAGTGAGACCTTGTCTCCAAACTAAAAGAAAGAGAAGTGATGGGTAGGGGACAGGAAGGCAGGAGTTCCCCATTGACAGTCCCCATTTCTCTAGCTGAGAATTGCCAACCTGTGATGATGTCACGTGCTACCACACCAGGGCAGGCTTACTGTTTTCCCTCCCTAGAAGCCTGTGCAATGCATTGTGAGGGAGGTGCTGTCTTCATCCTCAGAGAAGAGAGGGTTAAGCAAGATCTCACCATACCTTGTTTTATTAGAAAGTCCATGTTTATTAGACGTTCAATGAATTAACTTGATATCTTCCTTACTTTTCTCCTTGCCATGACAAAATACCCGGTGAAAGCAACTTAAGGATAAAAGGGCTTATTGTGTCTCCCAGTTTGAGGATGCAGCTCATCATGGTGAGGCAGGAAGGGCAGTGGGAGTGGCTGGTCACATTTCATCTTCTGTCAGGAGACACAGGGATGAAGCTAGTGAGTAGTGTGGCCATATTCTTTTCTCCTCAGTTAAACATTTCTCTGGAAATATCCTCACAAATGTACCCAGAGATGTGTTTTCTAGATGATTCAAAATACTGTCAGGCTGACCATCAAAATTATCTACACCTTGCAGGTAAGAGACTTACCGTGAGCATATTGTAAATCGTTCTCAGAAAACACTGAAGCTTAGGGAGGTCAAGTCTTCCAATCTGAGGTAGCACTGCTGGGATCTGGATTCCGACTTATTACAACTCTGTGCCCCTCCTCCCCATTTCTGGCTGCATAGCTAGTGAGCCTGTCACCGCCTCTTGGGAAGGAACAATTGGCCATTGGCCATAATGTGGTTGCTGCAGAAGGGGCCCCTTAGGAGGGCTCAGAATCCTACCACCTTGGTGCATAGTCAGATAAGATAGTCAGGGTTGGGTCCTGGATTCTGCTTCTATGGGCAGCCAATGGCACCGTCTCAGTTACATCCTCTGGAGCTAGGCCGAGTGAGGGCATCCTTTCTGCAATAGGGAAAATCTTCCATTCCCGAAAGTCTCACCCTGAAATAGGCACAGTGGAAATCGATTGCAGTATTGCTCTGGGTGAGCTGGGAGACCAGTTTGCTTACTGCTCAGCCCTGTAGTGGCCCTGAGACAGGATGTGGTTGTTGCACAGTTTTGACGTTGGCAGCAAGAAACACAGCTCCACCTTGAGCAGCCTGGGTTCTTTCTAGAGACCTTTACCTGGGGAAGCCAGGAGCTTGACTTTCGCCACAGAATAGAATCTCAGGATTGGTCAGTATGAATCAGAATTGGAGGTGTGGCAGGGCTGGAAAGCATCCTGGCAAAGTTCTTCCAGCTGAGTCTCTGGAGGAAAATCCTCCACCTACCAGGAGTGAGTGAGGAGAAAGCTCTGAACTACCCAAGGCTCCTATGGAACAAGCATCATTGCAAACACAGACCACTGGGTCCTGAGACATCATTTGGAGTCTATGACTTCTATGCTTTTTGAGTACCCGTGGACCGCCAGAGTCCCAGCCACCTTTGCTGATGTTCCTCGGCTCACCGAAGCACACAGACCCCTCTAACCTGGATGCCGGGTGGTGTTCTTGCTGCAGCAGGCAAGTAGAGCCTGTGGCAGATTCTGGCTCTTGTGGCCATGTCAACAGGATCCTGGGCTGCAAGATTCCTAGGGAGCTTGCAGCTCAGAACAGTCCAGAAGGTGACAAGGAATAGAGGTGTCCATGGGGAGAGAGCTACAGCTTGGCTTCTCTGCATCTTACTTCCCAGCCCAGCCTTGGCAGACACGAGAATCTCTAAGTGGATCTGCTGTTCAGCTGTAAGTCTATTGATTCTGCACGGACTGGAAACAAGCTCATTTCTTATTAGCGATATTAGTTAAAAGAACAGGCTAGACAACCAAGTTAAGGCTGCCTTGTCTGTCTGTCTGTCTGTCTGTCTATCCCGCAGGACGAAGCAGCCACTTCCCCCTTTTTTTGCTTGCTTCTGTTGTTCCAGAGTTTCAAAGTCAGCACGGCCAATTGCCCTTCGGGAACTTGCAGTTAATTGGGGGAGACTAATGGACCAGCAGATGAATTACAACACAAACAGAGAGAGAGAGAGAGAGAGAAAGTAGCCTTTCCACGTGCTTCTGGCCTGTTTCTATCTGTGTGGAGCCTCCTCGTTCTTTGTGATGCCCAGTTGTCAACCTTTCTTTTAGAAACATGCCATCCTATGCCTCTCTAGCCCTGAGCTACAACAACAATGTGCATGGGTGTACGGTGCACACATGTGTTCTCACATGTGAGCAGACCTCAGACCCTCACTCTAGGCGGGCTACGATTTCTCTTTAGGTTTTGCTCCTCTTAAGAGATGTTATCCCTCCCCATCCTTAATTGTTTATTATTGTTCATTTGTTTTTTTGTTTTTTCTTTCTTTGTCGTGTCTGGATTGTTTCTTTGCTTTGACAGATAGTGAGCTGGGGGCAAACGTGGTGAGCTGCTGTACGTGGATGGAGAGGGCTTTGAACTTTGAGTAGTGATGCTGTCCCTCCTCCTATGATCAGGCTATTATTCTGTTTCCCTTGATTCTTCTAAGAAAGTCAACATCCAGAACCAGAAGGAAAGAAAATGGGCCCTGCTGAAGGGCCTGGACCCTGAGGCATCTCACAGCCCCACACTTCTAACGTTCCGGGTCCCCTCCCAGCAGATAAACAGATGGCTCCTGACCATTCTGGAAGCCGAATTCAGGTTTCTCAGTAGGTGCACAGGGTGGTTTTGGCTTAATTCCTTCTCTGATTTGTTTCCAGAGATCTTTCTTCCTGGCCCCTGTGCTGGGAATTGAAGTCACACAGACTAGATAAGAGCTCTACCACTGAGCTACATTCCCAGCCCCAAGATTTCTCTCTTTTGCCAGATTCCAGGCACAATGACCCCTTCTACTTCCATCTCTGCTGCTCCCTGTGCCTGGCACTCTCCCCCCAGTTCTCCACAAGGCCAGCTCCCTTTTACCATTGTATTTTGAGTCAACACAAAAAGGTGTATGGCGGTATTTTGTGTATGCTCTAACAAATAAAACTTGCCTGAAGATCAGAGGCAAAGCCAGCCACTAGTTAGCCAGAGTCCAGGCAGTGTTGGCACACACCTATAATTCCAGCACTAGGGATCTCATGCCTTTGCTCCCAGTACTTGGGAGGCACACATACCTTTAATCCCAGCACTAGGGAGGTTGAGACAGGAAGTGATATGGCTGGGCAGAGAAAGGAACATAAGGCAGGAGGAGAAAGGAGTTTGGTCCCTTTTTTGGCTGAGGAGTTGGTGAGGTGAGAGGTGGCTGTGGCTTGTTCCTCTGTCTCTCAGTCTTTCAGCATTTACCCCAATATCTGGCTCGGGTTTTTATAAAGACCAATTAGGATCTGTGCTACAAAGGTGCTTTGTGAAGCCATGTAGGGAAAGCGGGTGACATGGTCCTGGTCCTCATCTCAGTCAGTTGCTGTGATAAAACAAACAACAAAGAAACAGACAAAACAAACAAAAACCTCACCTTGAGCAGAAGCTGTTAGTGGAGGAAAAGGTTTGTTTGGATCATAACTCTAAGTTACAGTCCATCACTTCCGAGAAATGAGGGATCCCAAGCACTGGTCACATCACATTCAGTCAAGAGCAGAGCAAAACAATGCACCCATGCTGCCTGCTTGCTTGCTACTCAGATATCCCTCTCTACTCTTACACTCTCCAAGGGCCCAGCCAGGGAACCGTGCCACCTGCATTCAGGGTAAGTGTTCCTACTTCAAGCAATAATCAAGACTCCACCCTCCCACACTCACACCCACAGACCAACCTGATAAAGACAATTAATTACTCGGTTGAGATTCTCTTCTCTGATGATGTTAAGTTGTGGCAAGTTGATATTTAAAACTAATTCTTGTAGGCCCAGAATTTTCCAAGACATAAAGCAGAGAAAGAGAATGTATTGAAATACCTCGCAAAAGCAAGTAATGTTCCAGAGAGAGCCCAGTCCACTCAGAAGGGGTAAACGTTCTTTTATAGCAACTAAGTGGCAAGTTATTTCATTTCACCATTAAGCAGGCCCATATCTGAGGGGCAAACAAACCCTTCTTTATCTTGTTGAGAAGTAAATTTTACAGTTTTTCTGGAGCCTGGACGGGTAAGGCATATGGCGCTAGATGTGCGTGTGAGAGTTTATAAATCAGGATTCAAATGACCGTGACCTAATCATAAAGGCGTATGCATTTTGCTCTTCATTTTGGTCTTTGCCTCTACCAAAGGGCCCTTCCTAACTGCTCTGGAAGACTGACTGTCTCATCCTCCTGTGCCTTTCTATCCAGTGTCCCTGATCATTATACAAAATTAATCTCATTTAAGAAAAATGTGTGTGACACAGGACATATGTAGAGGTCAAAGACACGTCAGGGGTTTGTCATATCCCAGGCTGGCTGGGTCTTACGCTTCCAGGGAGTCTTCTGTCTACCTCCCATTTCCCTGTCAGGGTGCTAGGATAACAGACACAGGTCTACTGTGTCCAGCTTTATGTGGGTTCTGCAGATCTAAACTCCAGTCTTCACACATATGTGCCAAACACTTTACCCACTGAGCCATCCTCCCCAGCCCTATCCCATTGATTGACTCATAAGCTGCTAAGGTAAGGTATCGTATTGGCCACTGGCTGTACACCCTTCCAGAATACCTGCTCACTGAGAGCAGCACACTTATCAACCTTTCTCAGTGTGGATTTCACGGTGTCTTCAATGGCACCAGACAACTACTAGGTACTTGACACACTTAGGTGAGTAACTAAATGATTCCTCAGCTTCAGAGGGGCCCTCTCATCTGAGTCCCTAGGAAGGCAGAGATGACTGTGTGCTCTTGTAATTGCAGACAGAATCCTTCAAGCTGAGCGAACCCTACAGCCAGTGCACTGAGGACGGCAGTGACGTGCCCATCACGAATATCTACAACGCTGCCTACTCCCTCCAGGTATGGTGTGGCAGGGCCCTCATCTCTGGGTCATGGCCTGGATCCAAAAGATGAAGTTATATCTAAGCTGAGGTGTGCCTGGGACCAGGAACTAGGGTGAGGATATCTGGGGTTGGTCCAAAGACCTCAAGTACAAATGATGCCAGCTGATTCCAGTCTTCTTCGGTCCTCTGTAACCAGAGCTTAATTGACTTACTAAGGTTTGTGTGGAACACAATGTACAAGGCAGACAAGTCTACTTGCTAAATGGCCTTGGCAAAGGATGGACGGGAGGGAAAGCTTCAGCAGGAGACGCTGGCTGAGGGGTCAAAAGTTTGGCTTCCAGATACATGTGTGCCGCATGACTTGGGCAAGTCTATCCCCTTGACAGTCACAGAATTGTGCCGGATCAGGGTGAGCTAATTAGCAGCTCTTGGTCTCCTCCAAGTCACACGCTGATTGCTCTAGCCAGAATGGCATTAAAATTCAGGAAATGCTGCAAGAAAATCCCTATTTCTAGCTTCTCTTAAAAAAAAAAAAAAAAAAAAGACGTGATGATGTGGGAAGACAGATCTGACCCCCATAGCATATGATATCTATCACTGGCCCTGTAGGCATCGCAGTTTTCAAGCCTTAAATGCAATGAGTGGTGGACCCTGACACCTCCTCTCACAGGCTGGAACTCTGAGGTTGGCCTCCTAGTGGGATGCTAGAGATCATCTTGGCGGGATATAAAGGCCTGAGGTGGGGGTGGGGGGCTAGGAGATGGCGGAGACAGTAAAGCGCTTGCCTCAAGAAAGCACGAGGACCTGGGTTCAGACTCTCGGAATCCACTTGAAAAGCCAGGCATGTGCCTGGAACCCTAGCAATGGCAAGGTGTGGGGTAGAGTCAGATGGGTCCCTGGAAGCTCCCAGGTGGCTAACCTGGTCTACATGGCAAATGAGGTTCCAGGCTATCTTATATCAGGGGAGTGCTGACACTGACGTGAAAGGGGAAACGGGAGCAGCTGCCAATCAACAGTGAGAAGCACGGTCCTGACAGTCCACTAGTCAATTCTAAGTCCTCTACATTGGACCTCTCAGGATTACGACCACACTGTCCAGGAAGCTTCTCGTGTAGGGTAGGGGCTTCAAAGCCAAGCTATTCAGGTTTAAATCCCAGGTTTTTTTTTTCCAAGACAGGGTCCTATTATGTACCCCAAGATGGCCTTGAACTTACTATGTAGCTCGGGCTGGCCCCCCAAGTTGCTATGCCCTTGCCTCTCTGCTTTCTGAGTACTGGGATTTTAGGTGTGTACCACCACACCTGGCCCAAATGTCAGTTTTGATATCTACCTTCTGTGTGACCTCAGGCAAATGACTCAGATCACGACTGTGTCTTTTTTCATTTTTGAGTTAAGTACAGAATTACTCCACAAGATTGTGGTGAGCATGAAATACATGAATATATTAAAACATTTGTCCTCAGTAACTTATCACTAAACATTACCCAGGGCATCTTTCTAATGAACTCACTTTTAGGGGTTGTCTAAAGTCCATTTGATTGTAGCATGAACTCTTGTAAGCAGATGTCTCAGGCTAGCCATCCCTCTTTGTGAGTAAAGAGGTGTGTTTGCTCCACCTCTTGGCTCTCTTCTGACGAAAGCGAGAGAATTCCATGCTGGGCTTCCTGAGAAAAACTTGATCTTTACATTTTTTTTTAACCATTTTGTTTTCTTTAATTTTATGTGTATGTGATATGGCCCAGTATGATAGGAAAAGGCTTTGGAATGTAAGATATGCAGACAGGGAGTTCTTGACCTCCACCTGCAAGGAGGTTGAGAACATTCTTGGGTATTCTCTTTCAGATCTGCCTTTATTCATGCTTCCAGACGAAGATGGTGGAAAAATGTGGCTGTGCCCAGTACAGCCAGCCTCTGCCTCCAGCAGCCAATTATTGCAACTACCAGCAACATCCCAACTGGAGTGAGTGATCCCACCTCCAGACTTGCGCATCCCGGGAGGGGAATCAGCTTGGCCCTCTGTGGGCTGGCCTGTCATCTCTTGAGCTCCTGTCCTGATTGCCTTTTGCCTGAAGAGGGTGTTAAGGGCGCTTTCTATCACCAAGCCTGGCTTGGATTATGCTTTTCAATCATGGACTAAATGCCATGTCCCAGCCTGTGCCAATAGCTTGCCCACATAGTCAATTCTAAAAGGCATTGTTGATAGTACTTTTGCACAGGACAGGGAATACAGGTTCAAAAAGATTAAGTCAATTACCTGAGGACCCACAGGAAAGAAGTCACAGAACTGGACCCAAGGGGTTGCCTAACCCCCAACTCAGGTCTTTGTTGTTTTGTTTGTTTGTTTGTTTGTTTGTTTTGAGACAGACTTTCTCTGTGTAGCCCTGGCTGTCCTGGAACTCACTTTGTAGACCAGGCAGGCCTCAAACTCAGAGATCTGCTTGCCTCTGCCTCCCCAGTGCTGGGATTAAAGGCGTGTGCCACCAAGCCCAGCTCCCAACTCATGTCTTTAACCAGAAAAAGATACAATTTCCTGACATCACATTGGTTCCCCCTATCCCCCAAAAAGACAGCATTTGTAAAAGGTGCAGAAATAAATAGCTGGCACGAGATGGTGGGGGCTCCACAGGTAACCCTGGGAAGGCTGCTGTGCCCCAAAGCTCATACTGCCTTTTACCCTGTCCCCCAGTGTATTGCTACTACCAGCTGTACCAGGCCTTTGTTCGAGAGGAGCTGGGCTGCCAATCAGTGTGCAAGCAAGCGTGCAGGTGCGTAGATCTGGAGGGACAGGGCAGGCAGGGCTGTGCTAGGCCAGCAGCCCGTGTTCACCCTATGCCCTTCCCCCCTAAGCTTTAAGGAATGGACACTGACGACCAGCTTGGCACAGTGGCCATCTGAGGCTTCCGAGGTAAGCTCTATTCCGACGTCTCCTCCCCCACCCCCGACCCCCAGAGCCCTTGGTGTCCTCAACTATTCTACTATGGCAGGGAGGGGCGTAGTTCCCAGGTGGGTAGACCTAAACTGCCAAAGCCAGGCAAAGGGAGTGTGTGTGGCTGAGGAAGAGGGCAGTGGGTAGCCTTAGGCCCATTCTTTCTTTCTCCATCACAGAAATGGTTGCTGAATGTTCTCACCTGGGACCAAGGCCAGCAAATAAACAAAAAGCTCAACAAGTAAGTTTGCCTCCACCCAGTTCCCTCTGCCTCTGTCCGCCACAGGCTCTGGGCCCTTGCTTCCTCATTGCCAAGCCCTCACCTTTCCGTCCGTTCAATCATTTAGTCAACAAATATTTACTGAGCTCCTATCATGAACCAGGCCCTGCTCAGACTTTTGTTTGACCATAATCCACCATATGAAATACATTTTGCATTGTGGCCCATTGAGTCCATAACTGAAATAAAGCATGCAACAGTATTTCCTTATGATGTACAAAGCCCTTGGGCTGGTTTTCAGTTGGCACACGATGCTCTAGCCAAACCAATTGTTTACAGTTGTCTTTCCATACCCTCGGGGGATCTGTTCCAGGACTCCCCCCATGAATACCAGACCCTCTGAATGCCCAAGTCCTGTATGTGAAATGGTTCACGTTTGCATATGACCTACCACATCCTCTCATCCATTTTAGTCATCTCTAGATTCCTTGTGGTACCCAATGTGATGTAAATCCTATGGAAATAGCTATCATATTAGGTTGTTCAGGGAACCTGGCACTGAACAAGTCTGTGCATGTGCAATCCAAATGTAACTATTTTTCCTCTCAAAAATCCCCCTCCATGGTTGGTTGAACATATAGATTCAGAACCAACAGACATGGAGGGAGGGTGAGTTTCCATCCTAACTGGTTACTATACACCAGTCTGATTGGTTAGTACCTATACCATCTCAACTGGCAAACATTTTGATATGCCTTTCAATATATTCTGATATTTCTTCATATTTTTTTCTTTTCTTTTAAATTTTTTTTTTTTTAGACAAGATCTTATATAGCCCAAGTTGGTCTCAAACTCACTATGTAGCTAAGAATGACCTTGAACTCCTAATCTTCCTGTCTCCACATACCAAGTACTGGGATTGCAGCCATGAACCAGCATGCCCAACTTTGCCTAATCTATTCAGTTGTGTAGTAGATACTACCATAGTCCAGTAAACTTGCTTTGTGACTTGCTGGTGTATCCTGACTTACAAAATAGTCCTTTTAGTATTCTATCTTCTCATCCTACTTATATTGTTCACAAAGAAATTCATTTCTGAGATACTTTTGGCAAAAATTATCTAGGCCAGGGATCAGGAATCTCAGCAGGTGGAAGAAAATATGGGAGAGACTACACTCACCTTTGCGACCCAGGAAATGTAAATGCATACTTCTGGCCATTACTATGTCCCAGCATAGGGTCTTCCCCAGTAAAAGCCAATCTGGTCTCCAATCCAGAGCACCCCATTAAGGATCAGGAGGTGTGTGAGTTTTAAGGGGAAATGGGGGCATCCAGGTGACCAAGCATGCTCTCTGCCCCCGCCTCCACATGGGCTTTGCAGTGAAAAGACAGAGATAGAATTAGTTCATCAGTAATCCCCAAATTTTGAAGCCAAGGCAGGAGGATTGAGAGTTCAAGGCAACCTTAGGGTTACACCTTAAGACTCTGTCTCAAATAAATATAACAAATAAAGAAACAACAACAGCAAATAGAGCGAGACTGAGCATTTTGCAAACAACTGTTCAGACCAGTGACCCCCTAGCCAAACCTAGCCCAATAAAGCAGTCCATTCTTTTCAGCTATTCCTGAAAGATTAAATGTTCTATGAACATGTAACTTCCATTCTTGTGTCAAATGAAATGGTTATGTAACATGTAAACTTTGAGCATGAACTTTCCAGTTCCATTGTCCTATCAGGACAAGTTTAGAATGGTAGTTAAGGGCATGACCTTGAAGCCAAATGGGTCTGGCTTTGAACCAGCTCACTCAACAGTCAGCTATGCAGTGAATGAACCCAATCTGTATCTCAATTTCCACACTGGTATGGTAGAGGGATGATTAAAACACAGCCCCCTACCTCAGAGAGACATTGAGAGAATTGCATTCATTCACTCAAGGGTCTTCCAACAGTGTCTGGCTACATCAGAATGCCTAATAGATGCTAGATGCTATTACACTCATCATCACTATTACCTTAGCCTGCCTGCCTCTCTCACCTGCACCACTGACCAGTTTCCTATAGGAGTCTGAGACTGCAGTCAAACAATTACCAATGTCAAAATCTAATGCGAGGGTGGCTGGGTGAACTGGAACGTCCAGAGGTTGAGAAACAGTTCTTTTGTTTTTTCAGTGAATGGATGGCCTGAGAACTAGGCCCAAATTGGAAATGCATTCTGAGGTATAGAAAGAGACCTGGGGACTAGGTTCTAACAGCCTGAGGGAGTTCAGAGGACAGGCCATGATAGGGGCTTGGACAGGAGGAAGAAGATAGCCAGGCTGAGGGGCTGCCATTTGTCAGGAAGCCAGGGCTTTCCAGCCACCTAAGTCCCACCTGTTGGAATTTCTACAGGACTGACCTGGCCAAGCTCCTGATATTCTACAAAGACCTGAACCAAAGATCCATCATGGAGAGCCCAGCCAACAGTGTGAGTAGTCTGTTTATCCAACATGTCCCGGGCCCATCAATATGCCTATCTACCTGGTCTAGGGGAACAGTCAGCTTGAGGGGGACTGACCTGATGTAGGACGGCTGCCAGAGGGCAATTAAGCCTTAGAGAAGAAGTGCAGAGTGACAGGAGACAGGGAGGCCAACTGGGAAAAGCCCTCCAATCCCCCTTTTGAGATAGGGTCTGACTAAGTAGCCCAGACTGGCTTTGAACTGGCAATCATCCTTCCCTCTGCTCCCCGAGTGCTGGATTGCAGGCATGTGCCACTACTCTTGGCCTTTAAGTTGCTTGGTCTTCCTTGCAGATTGAGATGCTCCTGTCCAACTTTGGTGGACAACTGGGTCTGTGGATGAGCTGCTCAGTCGTCTGTGTCATCGAAATCATCGAAGTCTTCTTTATTGACTTTTTCTCTATTATTGCCCGCCACCAGTGGCAGAAAGCCAAGGATTGGTGGGCCCGGAGGCGGGCACCTCCCTCCCCTGAGACTCGCTCCAGCCATCAGGGCCAGGATAATCCAGCTCTGGATACAGACGATGACCTGCCCACTTTCACCTCTGCTATGCGCCTGCCTCCAGCTCCGGAGGCCATAGTGCCCGGCACGCCACCCCCCAGATACAATACCTTACGCTTGGACAGTGCTTTTTCCTCCCAGCTCACGGACACTCAGTTGACCAATGAGTCCTGAGACAGAATCAGAGAACAATCATAGTCAAAGGAGACTCTCCTCCTGACACAGACAGGCCCTCCTTTCCTTGCTTTGGGCTTTTGAAACATGACTAACAGCCTGCTGTGAACAGGACATGGTCTGGGAACCCACAGAAGGATCTGATGGGCCCTGCCCCAACACTCCTAACTTCCAGGATGAGCTATACCCTGCAACCTGGACTTGGCACTTCTGAGCAGAAGAGCCAACAGCAATGGCCTGGGCCAACGGTGAGCTCTTCACAGGATCCTGAGAGAAGCGTGCTGAGCTCAGGAGTTCACCTGCAATATCCCTGGCCTACGCTGCAGCCCAAGCATGTGATCTTGAGTAGCAAGGCTGGCCAGCCACTGCCTGATGCGTGTGACAAAAGAAATTAGTACCATCCTTGGATCCCAACTGTTGGTCGCTGACCTAAGTCATTGACACTGGGACAAGGTGTACTCTGTGCCCTCAGACAGACAGTTGGCCCAGGGCCTGGGAGCATATTTGGAGAGGGCACAGTAGAGAGAGGCCAAAGGGTGTGGCAGGATGTCCCCACTCTGGGAGCAGGGTGGGGTAGTAGAGAAGGGCCAGTTAAAGGGCATAGCCAGACACTCCTGCCAAATGGTATTCCCATAATCTCAACTCAAGAATGGTATGCTGGGAGCTGTGCTAAGCACTTACATAAATCACCCTAGGGCATAACAAACACCAGCCTACAGGCCCAATCCTTTATTTTGTCTTTGAACTGAGAATATGTGTGTGTATGAGTGTGTGTGTATGTATGTGTGTGATGTATATATGTGTTTATAATTTTTTATGTACACATAGCTAATATATAGATATATATAAAAAAGAGAATATTTTGTGACTCATGAAAATTATATGAGATTCAAATGTTAGTGTCTATAAATAAAGTTTTATTGATACACTGCCCTGCCAATTTATTTATACTTTGTTCATGGATGCTATATGCAAGCTGAATTAACACAGCTGAGTAATCAACATTGGCCTTTTCTGGAAATAGTTTACTGACTCCTGGATTGGTCCATTAAGGAAGTATAGAAACTAGAGCAAGTTAATTGTTCAAGATGACATAGCCAGAAAGTTGCAGAGCTGGGATTTGAACCCAAGCAGTCTGACTTGCTGGCATGTACACTCTCATTCCCCTATCCTGAATGCCATCCCTATATGCATTAAGTATGAAGCTGATGTCACTTGTGGTGGAAAGAGGAGGAGGCTTAGCGCCCAGGACCTAGACTAGAAGAGGGTCCTTTGTACACAGATCAGAAAGACCTGTATTTGGGGACTCACTGACACACAGGGACAGAGACTGGTGGAGTCCAGGGTCTTCATGAAAGAGGCTGTGGGGACCCCGCATGAGCCCAGGACACAGGTCCCACCCCATCCCATGCCTGTACCTATAGTCACCACCTCTGCCCCACATAGTATTTCCACTAGTTCTCGGGGGTCGGCTAACAGATGTGGTACACTGGGAGCTGTGCTAAGCACTTACAAAAATCATCCTAGGGCATGACAAACACCAGCCTACGTGACTCTGGTTGACATGGCACGCTCCTGGGACAGTGGGCTGATGCAGCCAAGCATTAAGGGCATAAGCCTGGCTGGGCTCCTGGTGGCTACAACTGGTACTGACAGGGAACACGCACCAGATGCTCACTTGGGCACCCCTTAAAGGAGAGCTGGGGACTGTGTCCTCAGAGGCGTGGAACTGGCCGGCCCTGGCATGCTGTCACTAGCAGGAACACTTCCAGCAAGGCTGAAGTTGCTGCTGGGTGTGTCAAAGGTGAGACCGACAGCATCTGGCTCAATTGTCCTCTAGTGGATGGGCGGGCACAGCTCCCGACTCCAGCCGTCTCCACGGCTGCTTGACTCCTGCAATGCTGCCTTTTCTCCTCTTCCATTCACCCTTCTTTTAACACTACGAACCTTCCACCCCCTGGTGCAAGTTTTCATCCATCCGCGTCTCTCGTTAGATCACGAACTTTATGAAAACAGGAATAAAGTCTTACCTCTTTGTACTCAGATTGAGATAGGACTGAACACAGTGTTGACACTTAATTGTATAAAGCTTATAAGGACAATAATAACTGGGCTGGCAAAGTGGCTCAGTGGGTAAAGGAGCTTGCTGCCAAGCTAAATGACCTGAGTTTAATCCCTGGAACACACATGTGGAAGGAGAGAAAAAAAACTTGCTCAAGTTTGGTCTGACCTCCACATATACACCACAGCATGTGTGCCCATGCAAAGCAAAGAAATACATGTAAATTTTTTAAAAAGAGCAGTAAGAATGGCATAGTTTTCCAGATCTTATTGTTTGCTAGGGATTCTGTGAAGTGTCTCAAACACATCAACTTCTGTACTGCTAGCCCCTTGGGTACTCTTTGAAGCACCCAGAATTATCCTCTAACCACACAGCTGGTAATTCATGAGCCCCACCCAATAATAGAGCCTGTGGGCACCCTGAAAAGTGCCTTTCACTCAGCAGCTTCCCCCAGAGGCCAGGCTTGTCTGCCCAGGAGGAAACTGTCACTGGTCCTCTGGCTTTAGGTTCAGAGAACTTCTTATGTCAAGACAAGGATGAGGATAACCCCGTGGCCCATGGAGCATTTCTTAATGATTCAGAGACTCCCCGGGAACCTGCACCCCAAAGGGTGATATTAGATAAAGACTTATGTTTTTCCAGGCTGGGACTATAGCTCAGTTGGTAGAGCACTTGTCTAGCACGCAAGAATCTCTGAGTTCAATTCCTAGCACTGTTTAAGCCAGGTATGGAGACATTTACTTATAGCCCTTGCCACACTCAGCTACACAGTAAATTCAAGGTCAGCCTGGGACATATGAGACCGTGTCTCAAAAAGAACAACTTTTAAATGTTTTTGTTTGTTTGTTTGTTTGTTTGTTTGAGACAGGTTTTTCTCTGTGTAACCACCCTGATTGTCTTGGAACTTGCTCTGTAGACCAGGTTGGCCTCAAACTCACAGATATCTGCCTGACTCTGCCTCCCAAGTACTGGGATTAAAGGTGTGCACCACCACTGCCCGGCTCCAAAAAAAAATTTTTTTAAGATCCAAGTTTGTCTGAGATTGAAACTCAGGAGAGAGAATGGAGTCAGACATGAGACGTATGAATGACATGGCGGTCAAGTGTAGACTGGGTCACCAGGGAGGAAAATGGTCATATCCTCAGTCAGAAGAAAAGCAGCAGCAGCAGCAGCTCTGGAAGTTTCCAGAACAAAGGGCAAAGCAACATAAGGCTTCCTGCCCCCAAAGCTCCTTCTCATCCCTACTCCAGGGTCCTCCAAGAGGATGTCTCCACGGGATAAACGTGGCATATGGGAGTTCCCACTTAGATGTTTCCCCCTCACCTTGGCCGGGTTTATGAACTCGCTCTAGGGTGAGGATGTTTAATGGCAGGAGGGCTTCACTGCCACACCTGCCACCCACCGTCCTTTCTCTACCAGTTCCCCACTTATTCATTCCTCCATCCATCAAGAATAGGTACGGTGCTGCCAAGTCTTACACAGCATGCCCTTGACCTAGCACTCTGGAATACCATGTGGCGTTGACTCACAGAATAAACAAACTATTCCATTTTCAGCTGTGCAAAAACCAAATCCCAGGCTCGTGAACGTGGCCTTTAGCACTTCGATGCTATTGATTGCTTTGTCTGATGGCCAAGTGATTTCCTCAGCTGCTTTCCTTCTAATTTTTGAGACAGGGTCCAAAATGGATGAGTCAATACTGGAGATGTGGTACATATATACAATGGAATTTTACTAAGCCATAAAGAAAGGTGAAATTGGTAGGACAATGAATGGAACTGAAAAACTACCAGATTGAGTGTGGTGATCTGTGCTCACATAGACAAACACCTTATGTCCATCTCATGTGGTGATCTTGCCTCTAACTGTCAAATCTTTAGGCTTTAGGCTGGCAAGTGGGCAAAGGTCAGGAATCTAGGAAGTGGTCCTTGGGACTGGAGAAAAGTGGATAAAAAGATGAGATGGGGAAGACAAGCCATCAAAAGGAAAGGGGGATACCAGAGGTGGAACAGGCAGAGAGATCACATGGAAACCTGTGACTTCACTAATTACAAATGAAGCAGTTCCCAGGAGTAAGAAGGCATCTTGGCTCACGGCTGGGGCACGTGTTCCATCACGTTGTGGTGGTGAATGTCTGCAATCCCAGGGCTGGAGATCAAGGGCTGCATAGCCAGATCCTGTCTCAAAGAAAGGAAACAAACAGAAGCCATCCGGGTAAGAGACAGTCGGGGCAGAGCAATGAGTGGCCAGTGCTGTGAGAAAAGAGACCACCCCCCGGATGCTGTCAGGGAGGAGCTGGCCCAGGTGCTGCTACAACTGGAGATGGTGTTATCTAAGAGAAGCAGTTTACGGGAGGAAAGATAGATTTTTACTCATGGTCTCAGAGGCTTCTTTCCCAGGTTGACTGGATCCATCGCTTTGGGCCTGGGGTGGAGCAAGACAGACTGCTCACTTCATGACAGATAGGAAGCAAGGAGGGGCAGGACTTTCAGAAGCCTATGCCTACAACCTACTTTCACCAATCAGGCCCTACCTCCTAGACTTTTCACCTTTTACCCAAGGAGCATCACCAGCTGGATGCCAAGTTCTCACTCAGCACGTGAGCCCAGGGAGGACATTTCATCTTCAAAGTATAGTAGTGAAGTAGTCATTCATGTAGATAGATATACCATGGAGAAGAATGTTCTGGAAAGAAGGAAACACCAGCACTGGCAAAAATACTCCCTTTTATTATAGGATTTTATTCAGTCACTAAAAAGAAACGAAGTGGGGCCAGTGAATTAGGTCAGCACATGAAGGTGCTTGATGTCAGGCCTGAAGACCTACGTTCAATCCCCAGGACCAACGTGGTAGGAGAAGGGGACTGTCTCCTTTAAGTTGTCCTCTGTCTTCCGTACATGCTCATGCTGATTGTGTGCACACACGCACACGCAC